GCAGTAAGGCCTGCTGAGATACACTTTCAGACATACTAAGCTGCCTAAAAGCCTCTAGCTGGGTATGGTGGCACATGCCTTTAATTCCAGCACTCGGGAGGTAGAGGCAATTGGATATTTGTGATTTTGTGGCCAGCGGTACCTCTTTATCAGGGTTTCTCCCTACAGCCACTAGCTTCTTGCCTCTGCCTCAAGCTGAATGGACTGGTTCTGTCTTCACCTGCTTTCACCAAGTCTCAGACTGTAACGTCTCCTCAGAGCTGGAGAATGAATGCCTTATACTGAGACCTTGTTTCTATCTTACAACTTCCCTAATGTTGGGATTAAAGGTGTTAGCTATAATTCTCTTTTAGACTAATTCATTCTCTTGTTATCCCTGGGTGGCATTGAACTCAGAGAGATTGGTTTACCTCTTAATTCTAAGTCCTAGGATTAAAGGTGTGTACCACCACCTCCCAGCTTCTGGCTGCTGAGGCTAAAGGTGTGTCCCTGGCTTCTATAGCTTGTGGCTGACTTTGCTTTCTGAATTCTCAGGCAGGCTTTAATGAATCATAAATAATATATCACTACAAACCAGAGAGTCAGGGACAATGGTCCTTACTGTAATACCAGCAGTCAGGGATGTGGAGCCAGGAAGGGAGGTCAGGCCACTTTAGGCTCTGTGATGAGAAGCTATCTCAAGAGGTGCACACCTTTAATCCTGGCACTCAGGAGGCACAGGCAAGCAGATCTCTGTGAGTTTGAGGCCAGCCTGGTCTATAGCATGAGCTCCAGGACAGCCCAGGCTACACAGAGAAACCCTGTCTGAAAAAACCAAACCAACCAACCAACCAACCAACCAACCAACAACAGTAACAACAGTTTCCTCTCAGTCCTAAAGTTAACAGCTGGTGAAAAGTACAAAAGAATCAAAATACTCAAATCAAGTTTTCTTAAGTTGTAAGTTTATTTGGAGTAGAAGTTTCCATATATAATGTCAACACCATCAAACTTCTTAGGAGAGACCATTCAGAAATATTATTTTGTTTCAGAAGGGTCTTTCTTTACTTCCCGTCATTTGCCTTCTAGTTAAGGGAAGATGGGTTTCTAATCAAATCAGTGGAACTAGACCAAATTCTGTACTGAGATACGGGAAATCAGAGGCTTCATCCAGGCGGAGATCAAGTCACATTGTCAGCATTTAAGGAAAAACCAATACCAATTAAGATGACACATGCCCCTATTTTATCTTGATAATTTACTTGAGCAGGTCATCCCAATAAATTATACAAATATACAGTACATTTGGTTGGAAATTATAAAAACAATTCTAAAAAATACCTACCCACATATATTAAACAAACACATTGCTACAGTATGCTTAAAACAATGAGTATGTCAAATGTTTTCTTATAAACATATTGCTTCTGGTCATACAGTGAGTTGAAAGAGTCTGTGTCACACACACACACCCCAATGGCACAAAGCAATGGCTTGATGTTATGGAAATGTGACTTCTTAGGACTATATGGTGCCACTAACTCCAACAGTACTTAAACTGGAATTGGAAGGGAAAGACTTTCTTTAACACACTCTGCGTTCATGTATTCAGATCTTGATATTTCCAGAACATGACAGTGTCACTTTTTTAGATATACGTGGTCCTTAGGCAAGCACTATGTCTGAAACATTGTTTTAGGATCACTTTTCTATACTTGGTAATTGATGGGACTTGTTGTACAGGAAATACTATTAACAGCAGATTTTATGCAAACAAAGTTTCCCTTGTCTCTGTGAGGCAAACCGTGGCACCTTAGCATATTCCCTGCCACCAAAACAGGTCCCCCAAAAGCCACTCTGTACCATTTCCTGACTTGCCAGAAAGCTGTTTTTGGTTTTGTTTGGTTTGGTCTTTATTTTATTTTATTTATTTTATTTTTTGGTTTTATTTTCTTTAAATAATAAATCCCCTTTACTTAAAAATTATTTAATTTAATGTGATATAATTAAAATTTTATCTCTATGGGTGTTTTGCCTACATTCCTATCTGTGCACCATGTGCATGCCTGATGCCTTCAGGCTAGAGGAGGGTAGATTCCTTGGAACTAGAGTTGTGAGCCACCTTGTTTGTGCTGGGAATCAAACCTGGGTCCTCTGGAAGAGCAGTGAGTGCTCTTAACCTCTGAACCACTCTCCAAGGCCCCAAGTGCTTTGTGATTGTAAAGGAGATATAGTCATGGCTAGGTGCAGTCTAACTCCTGTCAGTGTTTCCCTTTCCATTTCATAATTCTACAGTAGCTAAAAACATATCCAACAGGCAAACTTGACTATCACTGTTTTAAAAGGTCTATATTACTTAGCTTGTCTACAATTTCTCCTTTACCCATTTTGATGGGAGAAAAGCACTTCTGAGGTTTTTGCTAGTTCTTTAGAACTTGGTTTATCAGTCATCTAGTTTTCTCAGCTACTAGCTGCTTCGTTCATGTAAACGATTAATGTTTAACTTCTTGAGGAAAGCTGTTTGCTAGTAAAAGAAGGAAAGCAAAGACAGGGTCCACAAAGCATCAGGAAAACAATTTATAAAGTCCTACAACCAGGCCGCTAGGATTTTTGTCAATTAAAAAGAATGTAATGACCTTAAGTTAACACTAGCTAGATTACAGAGAACATGGTGTTAATGATTTATTTGTATATCTAAGTGTTATCTACAATTTAAAACCAACTTTCCAGCTAGCTGAGCAGGATTTGAGATTAATTTACTTTTTATACATAATACAGAAAAAGAGAAAATAAATATTAACCTCACAGTAAAGGACTCATCTCTGGACACACATTTGTTTGTTTAGAATATAATACAGGAACGGATGGTTTCAAGTTGTGCTTGCATCTGTCTTTTCTGAAGGTTTGTTGCTAGCTTGTTGACAGGGAAAACTTCCCTATCAAACCCATGTCCATTATGTGCTATTTTCATGCCCCTCAGAATCAAAGTGCTTGGTCAAGTGTACTTTTGAGTCAGATTCTCCAACGTATAAATTACTTTCTGATTTCAGGGCAGAGAGAGCCCACTGGAAGCCATTATTAAGACATCAAAGCAATCATAAATCAATACATTAGGCTGGACCACATGGGAATGTTTACATTCACCTTACCCCACCATTTCAACTTATACAAATGATTGTTTCATAGGGTTTGCTTTGCTGTATTTTGGAAACTGTAACCAAAAGAGCCATTTGGGCCCTGGGAGGATGTAATATACCATTGAGGTTTGCTGTTGCACTCACTGGTGGTGACCCTTCCCTTTATAAGGCAGCCATGAGTGGAGGCAGACGTGCAATACAGAGATGGAAGAAAGGGGGTCCTCTGCATCATTCTGTCCCCAACTAGCTTCCTCATTTGCAGAATTGCTGTAAACATTCCTCTCAGTGGAACAGCCTGTCCAACAGAGGTCTCATCCTTGAAAGAGACCACACAAGGTGTGTGTGTGGGGGGGGGGTTGAGATGTGGCAAAGTCTGGATATAACATCATGGCGATTGTGACTTCTCAGGTAAGTTAAAACTCTCCCCTAAGCCTTTTCCACTCCTAAAAATTGTCCTGATAAGTTGGCTCCGATAGTTTATGAGCTGCCCCTAGTCAGGTGTGGAGAGCTGAGCTAAATGCAACATTCAGTTCTCAATTAAAAAATAAAATGGCATGTTGGCACACACCTTTAATCCCAGCACTCAGAAGGCAGAGGCAGGCAGATCTCTGTGAGTCTGAGGCCAGCCTGGTCTGCAGAGCAAGTTCCAGCCAGGGCTACATAGAAAGACACTTGGCTCTTTTGGTCATCCGCTCATCTTGGCAGGGATATAAGTTTAATTGTATTAACGATGTTAGGAAATTTTTACAATAAAACAATGAAAAATTATAGTAAAAAAGGTACCCTTGACATAAAAAAGCTTCCCTTTTAAGGGATTTTTAACAATTGGATTTTATAAAGATTTTATGTGTTTTGTCAGAATGTTGGTATTTACACGCATGCAGGCGCCTACAGAGGCCAGAAGAGGGCATCGGATCCCTTTGAACTGGAGCGGCTGAGTCATCGCTCAGTCCAGAGTTTTTAAAAATGCAAAAAAAGCATGGACCACAGGGGTGGGAGGGAGCCTCCTCTCTGGCTCTAGGGAGGTAGGTGTAGACACCTGCAATGGGCTGCAACCTCCTCACCCTGCCTCCTCGGCTCTGCTGATTTATAGCTAAGTACTGTTTTCTGTATCATTAGTCTGCTGTGGGTGAGTTGGGGATAGTGAAGGCCTGAGAAAGGCTTGCTGGCCTTGCTGGATGTGGGAAGGCCACACGGAACTAGGAAAGTACCTAAACAATGCCTGGTGACTACAGCTCCTGCCACCTCCCCCTCAGTGTCTGCCCAGCAGAGAGCTGGAGGTCTCTGCTCAACCCCTCCCTTCATCCTCATGCCCAAGTGTGCACAACTTGAAGCTGGAGGAGGGCAGTGGATTTTAACCAATAGAGAGAGCAACCTCATCAATCAAAAAAAAAAAAAAAAGAAAAGTAGAGATATAATAGTTTGCTACGATTATGCTTGGCTTCTATCTGGATGTTTCCAACTGTATTTATGAGTGTTATAAAATTTCAAAAAAAGTTTTCTTTGTTCTGGGGGCAAAAATAAATTGAAATGAGTCCAAATAAAGTGATTTTAGACCAGAACAGCAGTAAAAAAGATGGTAGATTAGAGCTGTTAGGCATGTAAAAAGCCCTCGTTGAAACAAAACATGGCGCACTCAGGAAGCTAGAGGCAGGAAGATCAGAAGCTCAATTCTATCCTCAGCTACTTGGTGAGTGGTAGGTAAGCCTGGGCTACATAAGGCCCTGTCACAAAAACAACCACAAAACAACTTTCTGCCCCACCAATACCAGCTATTAAGAATAGCAGTGGATCAGTCCAAGAAAGCCTAAAGTACCAAAAGAGTCACATTTAAATGTAACCACGTCACAATATTGGAACATATTGAGTAAATAATCCCTTATTGTGCAGCACTGAACTGCACCCCGCCACAATACTGCATCAATGTTATTATATAGTTCAAGATTTGTATAAAATATTATGTAGAACAACAAACAAAAATTACTTAATCTTTAAAAATTTCATTACAAAGTTGACTGTATAAAATGCTAAAACATAATCCATATATACAAAATGCTGTTGTTTAAGAAAATAATGAGACCCAGTTTTAGAATAAAATAATTTTATACAAAAGAGGGTATTGCGTCAAATCAATATTTAAAAAAAAACATTTAAAAGAAATATTGAAATGTGTTAGTTCAGAACAGCTGTAAGCTTGGGTGCTTTTACACCACCAGGTGGTTCTGCAGGTACAACGGAATCAGCTGAAGGAGAATGGCCTCGGGGCTTTGACAGTCACCGATGGGATGGGTACTTGGAAGACCAGTCTATCCTGCCGTGCACAGGCTGGGCGGCTGGAGGTCGTGGAATCAACCCAGGAGTGCTCCTAGGCTGGGTGTGAAAAAAAGGCCGCCCCGGGTGAGGTCTCATGGCCTTCAGGGAAGAATAGCCTGCAATGGAAGAGAAATGCTGAGCTGACCCACGGGGGTCCCAAGCCAAGTGCAGGCAAGCGCAGCACAGGGACAAATGTCTGGGACTTTCAGGAGGAACACTTGCCTCCTCTGTCACCCTCCTGCAGGCAAGGAGAAGTCCACAGGTAGACTTGTCTAGTCCAAATCTTAGTGACACTCTTGGCCACTCTTTTTCTCTAATCCACAGTGTGTCAGCAAATCCTGCTGGCCCTCCAACCCATGTAGATCAGAATCTGGTGAATTGTTACCAACTGTTAACAACCCTGGCCCAAGCTATGGTTCCGCTTCTAACTTCGCTTCCATTTAGCCTCATGACAACGATGATCAGCTGGAGCACACCTGTGCAAATGGTGGTCCACACAAAACCCTAGCAGATCCCAAGACCAGCCAATGACAATATACTGTAGTGCCTGCTACAGGACTCCCTCTCCAGACTCCTCACCTCTGACTTCCCCTAGTTATACACTCCCTCCCTCCACCCCCCCAGTCTCTTTCTTGCCCTGTGTTTTGGCCTCTTCACTGCTCACTGTACTCAGGAATCCCATGCCACCCACAGGGCTTGAGTGCTTGCCACTAAACCCCTCCCCATCTTTCTCCCCCCTGCTCACCTGCTTTGGTTTCTTCCCTAACATTTATGAGCATCGGACTCACGCATCATCTCTAGAGTGCCAGTTCACCCTGGGCAAGGAGCACTGCCTGACTCATTCTGTCTACACTGTTCCTGCTCGAGGCAGCTGTTTGGTAATTAGTGGATTATTTTACAGGAGATCTGAAATGCAACTCACCAGGGGCGGGGTCGGCGAGAGGCGTCAGCTGTACCCTCTGCATAACAGAACCGATTTCTTTCTTCAGGAAGGAAGGGATGTAACCTCCAGTCAGTCCGCTGGAACTGGTGGAGCCTGAGCCAACTGAGAAAAGGAAAACTCATTACTACAAAGACACACTTCATGACACCAAGAGTATGCAACAACAGTTTGTTTTTACTTGTGGGGGACAAAGGAGTATGAGGAGAGTTCTAAGAATGCAATCGACCAAACCACAGTCAGAGAGGCCGGCATGGGCACAGGAAGGGACTTCCCACGGGCAGCATCTACACAGGTGGCTGAAACAAGGAACGTATTTGATAGTTTCTGTGTTTCTTTCCCTCCTGAGAATTGGTTTAGCCTGTTTTGAAACTTTCTTTTTCTACTCCATCCTATGGAATATCCTTTAATACAAATTCTGAAGCACAGCTGAACATAATCCACTTAATCATTCTCTTACTGATCATACACATAGGTAATATCATTTACTTAGATGTTATAAACTAAATATCCTATTGGTAATTAGAAAAACTAACCATTAATAAAAATATTTTTAAGCTCGGGGGTGGTGGTGGAACATGCTTTCAATTCCAGCACTTGGGAGGCAGAGGAAAGTGGATTCCCTGAGTTTGAGGCCAGCCTGGTATGTAGAGTGAGTTCCAGGACAGCCAGGAACTGTTACACAGAGAAACTCTGTCTTGAAGAAACAAAAAACAAGCAAACAAACTAAATATATACATACACACACATATATATATGTGGATATATATGGATATATACCTATATGTCTATATACACATATATTTATTATTATTGTGTTTGTATGGTGTGTGTGGGAGTGTGAATGACGTGGCAAGCACCTGGAGGTCAGAGGACACCTGTGGGGTCAGTTCTTTCCTTCCACCTTTACATGAGTTCCAGGAATTGAACTCAAGTCTCCAGGTTTGCGCAGTAAAAACCGTTAGTTGCTGAGCCTTCTCACGCCCCCGCCCCCAATAAAAATGTCCTAAAAATTCATTGTTTATGTCTATCTGCCATTTCTCTCTCCCTCATTCCTTTTCCCTTTCTTTCTTTTCTGAGGTAGAGTTTTACTATAGAGCCCCAGGCTGGCCCCAAATGGGCAGTCTTCACACCTTAGCCTCCCCCCCCCCCCAAACACACACACCCAGTGCTGGGATTATAGGTGTCAGACTTGTTTAAATCATTTCATTTGAAAGCGTGGTAAGGGCAGACTGCATCCTGCCCTCCTTTGTATTCTAGGAGGTTAATGATATAACTTGAAATGACAAGTAGCCAGTTAACATAGACAGACCAATGAGTATTTCTAATACTGACCATTATGGCTCAGAGGCACTCAGGGATAATGGAGAATATTACTGACCACTAAACAGATAAAAGTCCACCTGTGAGAAAGTGGTCATGGTACAGTTGCTTTGTCCTAATAGTGAAAAAGGCATTCAATAACTGCTTAAGGCAGAGTGGGAAAATGTCCTGGAATGCGTGTGCAAGGCTGGTCAGATGGAGTCACCATGCAGTACTGGTTAATAAGGAGAGAGGAAGAAAAATGGAGAATTTGAATAAGGCTCCACTTTCCCAAGAAAGACATAGTGAACACAAGGAACAAACCTCACTTTTAAAGACATACAAGTTTAGACATAGGGCACCATTTCACACTACATCAAGACTCACTTTAGTCTTGGGTACCAAGTGTTACCAAGGATAAGGCACAACTCCTACACCCTGCTGGGGAGCAATCAGACAAAATCTATAAAGCCTGAGATGGGCACACCATTAACCTAAAATGCTGATTCCAGCAGAGTACCTGGTGTCTGTGTGCACACAACATGGATACAGAAGTGTGCACCTTGTCCCTTCTGATGGACAGGCTACAAACAGCCATGTGCTTGTTGAGACGTCACGGACTAAATAGTGATCCAGGATAATTAAGGAGTCATGGCACCACACAGTCAGTCACACAGCACATTCTGTAATCTAGGGTGGATATATATACTTGCTATACACATTAGTCCTTAAAAGGAAGTGTTCATATAAACTTTAAAATATGAAAAACTCACTGAATTTCACACATAATTTTTAAATGCACAGGAAAAGTTAACACCCAATCAGGCCAGGGGTAGGGCGGTATGGAGTGATATGGTATGGGGTTGGGGAGATGGGTTGTTATGTGGGGGGGGAGACTTAGCTAGACTCTGGGACCTCAAGTGTGTTCTTAGGTGGCATGATGGGTACCTGGGCACTGTACTCCTAAGTGAACCCTAATGGAGGAAGGCGGGGAGCCGTGAGGGTTAGGTGTGGACTAGGTGCTAGAGAAGAGGGCCTAGTTCCCAGCAAGGGCTGTCAAACAGCACGAGAAATTGTCTACTGGGAACCTAATTACTTTGGAGGACTTTAGTTTTTGAAATGCATGCACAGAGGGCTGATAATTTGTCCATCTTCCAATCAGAAGGGATTCTGATATCCTGGGCAGGGCAGATTCACCACCAGTCGGAAAGTCCAGTGGGAGCAGAGAAGACAACCTTGACTTTAGCCCAGGTGCCCAAAGCACACCAGGGCATCAGGGGTCAGATTGGGTAAGTCTGTAAACTTATTTTTGTTTTTCCCCTGGGTCAGGGAAGACTGCTCCACCACCCCTCCTCCCCTGAGAACAGAAGGCTATGGGAGCTGGCTGAACCCTGGGGGCTACTGTTAAGGAAGGGAGCAAGAGAAAGGCAGGGAAGTCTAAGAGATGCCTGTGCCTCAGACCAGAAAAGTCTCGTTCCACAGTTCTCTATGTGTCCTCCCCCCAACCCAGTAGCCTCGGGAGAGTTTGCCTCTGGTCACTCAGGAGGTAACCGTTACTTGCCTGAAGTTATTTTGCTCACTACTGATACTGTTCCTGAAGATTTTCCAGACAAACCAGAACTGGACCATGGATTTGATGGAGGAAAGTCCTTGCCTGGATTCGGGAGCACGCCATTTCTTACATTTATTCCTAGTAGAAGAGAAAATGAGCTTGAAATACAAGATAAACCAGACAGACAGACAGACAGACAGACAGACAGACAGACAGAAGCAGTGGTACATCTCACAAGGGACACAGTGGCTAAGACAGTCACCCTAGTGCATTTCTTAACCTGTGACGTGTGAGATGCCTTAATCAGACATAATAAAGATCATTTGAAATGTAAAATAAATCTTAGACCAATTTTCAAAAATAAAACACAGAACACACAAAATTTCTATGGCACACCCCTCCCCCCCAACTGCTGATGTCATCTGACAGCTGCAGAGGGTAGAGGACATCTTTGAATGAAGCACATTATCTCAATTGTCTCATTGTGGGCTGTCTGAGAGGTTTTCTTATGCTTCCATGTCTTGATTTTCTGGTGCTGTCGCTCAGAGGACTCCTTCAGGACTACTATACATTTTCGTTTGCCTTCTTCCCAGATAACTTCTTTCCTGTCACTCGGATTCTTTCCACTCCCCACTCCCCACCTAGCCTACCCCATGCTCTGCAGCCCTTGGTTTATTTTTGTGTCTGTTCTCTTGAGGCTCCACCTCCTCACACGGCTTGGACATCCTCGATGTTAGCCGCTGCTGACTTCACTGTGCCAACAAGCCTTGAGAACGCTGCTTCTTCACATGCAAGGACAGAACACAGAAGCCTGAAGCTGACCTTCAGACAAGCCTCTACCAAGCTCCATGTCCCTGCCAATGCCAGGCTCTGCAGCTACTCTTTAGAAATGAAGCTCACACTCTTTTATCATCTTTCTACCAAAGCTCTGTAGTTCCCTCAAGCCTGGGTCTCCACACTTGCCACCGCGGGAACTATCAGTCCAGACTTCTAGGACTGTGACGTCGACACCCTAATAGCCTGTCTGGGTTCATCATGCTCCCAAGCACAGATCAAGATTGAATGTATCTGGAGGCTTTCCTCCCAGACTGGCTTCCCTTCCTCTTACCCAGATGACAGCTGTAGCTTGCTGGCCCTGAACTGTAGACTTATGTCCTCCAATTAAGTACTTTCAAGATTTCCCTTATCTCAAAAAACGAAATTCAACATGGTATGGTGGCACACACCTTTAATCCCAACACCCAGGAAGCAGAGGCAGGAGGATCCCTGTAAATTCAAGGCCAGCCTGGTCTATGTAGTGAGTTCCAGGAAGGGTAAAGCTACACAGGGAGGCCCTGTCCCCAAAACAACAATTAAAAAACCCCACAACAACCCAAAAAACTAACAACAACAAAAAATGAAATCTAGCTCTTTTTTTTTTTTTTTTTAAACAAAGTCTTCAAAGATTCCTCATGCTACATACTTCATTCCTTCCTCTCTCTGCTCTACACACACTGGTCACTGCATCGTTTCTCTCAGGCTAAGCCTTTCCTGCCTGGACTGTGTGCCTGCTCTTTCCACGGCCTGTGTGCTGTTCTCTTGGTTTCTGCACACTTGGTTCTGAGCCAGTTGCTCAGAGAAATCTTTCCTGACCACTGCATCACCATCTGTGATGACTACATGCCAGAGTCTCACCATGAGTACATAAGCTCCACTTATCTTTAAATGATGCCACTGTGAGGCTGCAATGTGAAGGAGCTACCCGGCGCTGTCCAGGAAGGTTGGGGGGGGGGGTCTTGCTTCATCATAATATTCTTAGTGCTCAGCACATAGCAGGTGCTTGACACATTCAGGCTGGCTGAGTTCATCCGTGAGTGGATGACTGGATGACAATGTGAGGTTGGGACGTGAAGTCTGGAGAGGGGCTTGGGCACTTACCAAACTACAGTGTTGACATTTATCTATAGTCCTGCCCAGAAGGTGTAAGTAAACTCCTACCCTGGCTTCCTGAGGGCATACGGGGAGGATAGGCTCCAGATATGCTGTCTATTTCTTGCCAAGCCAGCGATCTCAGAAGCCCAACTCACTCACGTTTCCTATAGACACTAAGTCTCTCATCTCAGGATGCCTCTGTAAGATAAAATATTCTACAACCTTCTCACGGGTTCAGGGGCCAGTGTGTGCCGAGCGAGCCCTCTAACCGCAGAGGCAACACAGCATGAAGTATGAGGCATGTTTGGGGTGTGTAAGAAATCTGGATTTCACTTCATGAGCAAAGGCTAGATGGCTCTGCAAGGGATTCAGCAAGAGGAGTGACATGACAGGATCTATACTGTGTGTCAAATAGGGCACAAGAACCAACATGGGGGCTGGAGAGATGGCTCAGAGGATAGGAGCATTGACTGCTCTTCCAGAGGTCCTGAGTTCAATTCCCAGCAACCACATGGTGGCTCACAACCATCTGTAATGAGATCTGGTGCTCCCTTATGGCATGCAGGTGTAAATGCAGATAGAACACTGTATACATAATAAATAAATAAATAAAATCTAAAAAAAAAAAAAAAAAAAAGAACCAACATGGGCATACGCATCCTCTGAAAGAGAGCCTACAGATACATGCCATCCCAGGAACAAAGATTGGTTATGGGTGATCAGAGGCCAGGTGTGTGCCCTCTCTGTTACCAGGCAAGTAGCGAGAGTGCTTCAAGTAGTGCTGCTTTGCCGCAGACCGCTGGGTTGGCGTGTCTCTCTTCTGGGAGGAAGCCTGCGTTGAGACACTCGTTCCTGTACCCACCGGCTCGGATGGCTTCAGGTCCAAAACACTTTCAAACCTGAATCAAGAGAATGTGGCTGGAGTCAGGAGTGGTGGAGCATCATCACAGAGATATTGGTGACCCACAGATCCGAGCCAGCCTGCTCCCAGGAACAAGCAGCAAGCACACTTGCCTGCAGAGGGGGTCGTCACTCTGTCTCTTCTTGTTTTTCACATCTATCCTGGTGAAAGAGGGACTGAAATCTAAGTCATCCAAGTCCGCCCAATCGTCAGAACCCTTTGTTGACCTGGAAATGAGACCCCATCTTCTCCTGGTCTTTGGCTTGATTTCACCATTTTTGTGTTCCACACCAGCTAGGATTTTCTGTGTATACAAACACAGGAGAAGGAAAAGAAAAATCAACATTAACAGCGTTCATCTATCAGTAGTCTGTGCCTGTGTTTGTGAGAGAGAGAGAGAGAGAGAGAGAGAGAGAGAGAGAGTCCGTGTGCATGAAGGAGATGGAATCCACAGCCTTGTACATAATAGGTAGGTGCTGAACTTGAAGGTGTTACACTGAGCTTGTGTTCTCCGTTTATAAAGTCCTGTGCCCAGCCTGTGAAATGGTACTGCACACACCGAGAGCGGGGCTTCCCACATCAATTAACCAATTAAGAAAACACTTGGGGTGGAGAGAAGGCCCTGAAGTCATAAGCGTATACAGTTCCTGCAGAGGACTGGAGTTCAGTTCTCAGCACCTGCATCAGACAGTTGTAATCACGACTCTAATTCACCAGAGAATTCAACACTTCTGGTGTTTACACACACACACAGACAGACACACACAATTTTGCATAATAAAAATAAATCTTAAGAAAAAAAAACAACCCCCAAACCAGAAAATTCCCTCCTAGGCATACCTATAGGATAACCTAATCGAGACAAGAGACTATTCCTCACTGAGGCTTAGTCCTCAGATGATTCTACATTGTATCAGGCTGATAATCAAAACCAACCATCACAGGAAGTTATGATTTTCTTACATATTAGGAAGATAGCTAAATATTAACTTGGACCTTTGCTACAGTAGACAAGTGATTATTGCCAAATCTTGGTCACCCTGCTGTATTACATCAAACAATGTAAACAGTGGTTTATAGGGAATTTCCAAACAGACCATATCCCAATCTTGAGAAGGGTTAAGTGCTAAGAGATGGAAGCCCATAAGCCCTGGGGACATACACAGTGTACCGGTTGGGATTCTGGTGCATAGTTGTCCAGAAAAGGGACCTCTTTGGATAAAGTTGTTAAGAAGTAAGACTTGACAGCATTACAAAGCAAATGATAACTCCAGCCCCTTGGCAGGTTGTCATTCTATGGATCCAGCACACACTGTTTATTCAAAAATCAACAGAAGAAAGATTTGTGCTCAATTAGTAGCTCAGCATTGACATCAATTCATAATGATGATGATGATGATGATATGAAAACCAGTCTACAGACAGAAGAATGACTCCAGCTCCTTAGGATTTTCAAAACATCACCACAGGCATCAGGACCTTCCATTATCAAGAATAAACTGGTTGGAGGAGGGGATATAAATTAAGACCTTCTTCCTCAGATGAAGAAACTGACTGTAGGAATGAACACAGTGTCCAGCACTTGCTGAGTTCTGTGATGTATTAGTTAGGGTTTCTGTAGCTGTGAGAAAACACCATGGCCAAAGCAATTCATGGAGGAAAAGGTTTAGTTTACTCTTCCTGTTCATCTCTGAGGGAAATCGGGGCAGGAGCTTAAGAAGGGCAGGCACCTGGAGGCAGGAACTGAAGCAGAAGCCATAGCAACTGTCTTGCTTACCTTGTTTTCTTACCCCAGGATCACCTGCCCAGGGGTGGGACCACCTATAGTGAGCTGGACTGTTCCACATCAACCACTAATTAAGAAAATACACCATAGGCTTGCTTGCCCACAGGACAATCTAATGGGGACATTTTCTCAACTGAGGCTCCCTCTACTCAACGGTAGCTTGTGTCAAGTTGACAAAAAACATGCTAGTACTGTACATATTTTGATATGATATACTAGGTACTATTCCAAATTCTTCCCAAGTATTAACTAATTCAGTCCTAAAAACAATTATATTAAGTAGACATTATAATTGCTCCTATTTAACATGTGAGATAATATGGAGCAGAGGAGCCAGGTAACTTTCGTATGCATGGTTACCAAGCTGTTGAAGAGCAGAACTCTGGTTATAGAGCCCAGCTTGCCACCATTGCTCCACTTGCTAGCAGGAGTGTGTGGTGGTTTGAATTAGAATGTCCATAGGCTCAAATGTTTGAGTACTCAGTCTCCATTTGGTAGTGCTGTTTGGGTAAGGTTAGGAGGTGTGTCCTGGTGGAGGGAGTATGAAACTGGGATGGGCTTTTCGGTTTCAAAGTCATGCATCATTTCCAGTGTGCTCTCTTTGCTTGGTGTCTGCAGCTCAATATGTGAGCCTCCTGCCCCTACTGCCACACCTTTGTTCTGCCATCATGGATCTAGCCCTCTGGAACCACAAGCCCAAATAAACTCCTTCTTCTCTAAGTTGCCTTAGTCATGGTGTTTTACCAGAGCAACAGCAAAAGAACTAATCCAGAAAGGTATTGTTAATGGAAAAGGCAGAAACTGAATTCAGACCTTATATCAAGGGCCTTCTCACAGTGCCATGGCACTGTGGAAACAAATGTATAAGACCTTATGCACATGGTATTTGTAGCCAGAAGAGAAAGAACCGAGACAAATAAACTAGTTTCCTTGTAGACACTTACTGGCTGAAGATTCTTATTGTGAAGGGACGGGAAGAGCGTTGGGCTTGGCTTGCCCTCCTGAAGATGGCTGGGCTGATCTGCCCTGGAGGCTTCACCTTTGTAGGGGTACACAAAATGCTGAGGAGGCTGACTGGTTTGGTTTGGTCGTGAAGAAATCAGTGTATGTGCCTTGGTTGGGGGCTGGGCAGGAGGGGCTGGCTTGATGTAAGTAGGCAGTCCTGTCTTGGCTTGGACATCTTTTTGCTGTTTTCCTGAATCCTGTGTGACGCTGCCCAGTGGATGTCCAATCTGGAAGTAAGGATACCGAAGTGCCTGGAATGATAAATGTGGCATTAGAAGGAAAGTTCAGAAGGGGAAGTAAACACTATCACGATCAATGGACTAAAGTTCATGTGACCAGTTCACTACAGGCTCTTAGCCCAAACCTGCTATAAACCAATATACTGCATTGGTAGCCCCCTGCTATTTTTCTGTACCTGAGTTAATATGAAATTTACATATTACTTGCAATACTTAAAATTATTTGGATAAATCAGATATATGAATCTGGGAATGGCAGGACACGCCTTATGATCCTAGCACTCAGGAAAGTGCAGGCAGGAGGATCATATATTAAAGGCTAGACTTGGTTAAACAGAAAGTTCAGGCTGGACTACATAAGATCTTGTTTCAAAACCAAGCAACCAAACAACAACAACAAAGGAGTCAGTAGGAATCTCCACCATTATTTGGGCTGCACCAAGAGTACAACACACAATACATTCAAACTTTCCCGGAATTCAAGGTTTAGCCGCCAGTTGCTATGGATAACTGAGTTCCTAGTTAACCAAAGCATAAACCTTAACACGCAGAAACTTACAATTCTTTATAAAATTCTATATGTATTCTCCCGAATTTGTTAATGGAAGTCACTGAAAATACCAGCATTTTCTTAATGGGTCTGGAACATTAGTTATAAACATCTATAATTATTGTATGTAAGTGCAGACTCAAGAGTCAACTAGAAAGAATTCTTTGTGGTCTCTGGCACTTCTGATATGTTTTGGGGGGCATTTTTAGCTTTTCTAATACCATTCCTCCCTTGGTTTTGGTTATACAAGTTTTGTTGTGATTTGTTTAACTTAATATTTTATAAGCATCCTATAAAAAATAAAGTGATTCATCAGAAATTTTCCTTGCTGCCCTAAAACTCTTTGTGAATTTTACCATCAGGAGTGCATGAACTTTCTAATTGTATCTTACCAGCCAGAGGCTGCTGGCACCAGGCTGTGACTGCCTCTTCAGGACTTTGAGAAAGAAGTTTTCTACCTCCCTTAACTATCCCCAGCTGTCACCCCTCCAGCTACCACAAATTATACCTCCACACTGGCCCTTTCTTCCCATAGTCCTGCCACTTTTGTAATAAAAGATCACAGATCACCTTCTCTGGTTAGAACTGGTTATTTGTTCAGTGCTCTGAGGAGTGTAATTAACTGTTCATGAGCCAAGCTGACAAAGGTTCAAATACAACTAACACAAAACCAGGCTTGCAGGAGGCAGGTGAGTGACAAGAGTTACGTTGGTGATTTTGGGTACAATTCATAATTTATCAGTGTAGCCCAGGGGAAAGTAGGTGGGGAGATATTCGGAAGCCCTGCCACCTGGATTATAGACAGCTGCACTACCTGTACCTACTACTGAATAAGTGACTAGGGAAAATCATTCACACTCTCTAAGATTTAGTTTTCTTACCTACAGAAGTGAAAACAAACATATTTACCTCGTGGAATCTTCATTAGATCGAAAACACATAAAAATACAAAGTACATGAAAATGCTAGCTGCAGTTACTGCAGATACAGTGCCTGGCTGTATTTCTCTGCCATCTGTCTCTGCTATCTGTACACAAGGGAGCCGGTTTTGTAAGTTACCTTTCAACACTCAGTGATGGCTAATCACCATCTCACAGAGAACACGTTAAAGCACCTCTGAAAACAGACACATACTTCTTTTCTTTTCTGAACTATTCTTTATTCCCTGATATTTTTATGTTTCTTTTCTTTTCTTTTTTTTTTTTTGTAGGTTTGGTGTGTGTGTGTGTGTGTGTGTGTTTTTTAGACAGAGTTTCTCTGTGTAGCCCTGGGGCTGTCCTGGAACTCACTCTGTAGACCAGGCTAGCCTTGAACTCTGAGATCCACCTGCCTCCTGAGTGTTGGAGTTAAAGGTGGGTGCCACCATGCCCCATTGGCAATTTTATGTTTATTTTCATTTGCAGATTACATATATATCACAGATTGTGATATATCATATATATCAATGTTAATGTTCAAAACAAATAACACTGCTTAGTCTTAACTATTTTCATTATGCCCAACAAGTTTCAGATTACATTAAATCCCTCCAGTTCATAAGAGTCAATACTATTTTCAGCTGTGTTATCAAATGAAAACTTGCCATGCAATTCATTGAAATACTCGGTATAGATTTCCTAAGAAATGCTTTGAACAGAAAAACCCAGGCGAACCTGACTAGCCGTTGGCCGTTTCTTGGGATCCCACTGAAGCATGTCTCTCAGGAGCTGAATGGCTTCGCTGCTAGCATTTGGAATTAGAGTCTTTAAGTTATTGGGTATGCACTGGGGCCAGAGGAAGTTCATAGCACTCGACAGCTGGTAGCCTTCAGGCCAGTCGGTCTGCAGGAAAAGACAGGAAATGGTGCTCAGACAGTGGCTGTGACTGGGGTTAGGAGTCTTCCACCTGTGCCCGTTAACCGAGGGGGATTGTCCTGTGTCTCCACTAGACAGGTGTAGATGATGAGGCCCAGGGCTCCCCAAACACAGACTACAGTGCATGAAATCTGAGAGACAGCAGGGAAGACAGTGACTTGCCACCAGTTTAGCTTGTTTTATAATGAAAAGTTTCTACACCTCAATAAGCCTTTCCACCAAGGCAGCAATCCAAATCAGACCAAATCAAACTTAATTAGAAAAAGGCCACGTGCTCCTGGATAAAATGTGCTCCCGGATGGCTTTCCAATCCCCCAGGGAAGACTGGAAAACCACATGTCTGCTTTCTGGGGGACAGTTTAAATACCCTGTGGGAGTGGTCTTGAGCATCTCTGGGGTAGGGGTCATCATTCAGCGGGCTTTCTGGGATGCAGCAAGGTCTGGAGAGACATGGGGGATGGAGGCTTGGGGTGAAGCTTCCATCAGAACACAGAACCTTTACAGAAGACTTTCCTTCTCCGGAGGGTGGGAACTGAAGCCTATAGCATTTTTCCCTGCCCTGACACATGGGTTTTGGAAACTGCTAGCTTGGTATTTTTGAGGGGGAAGACAAAATAAAATGAAGTAAAGCAAAATACCTATCCCTGGCCCAATAGATCTGTGAAGTGCCATGTGCTACCATCATCGAAGCTAATTCTAAGTATTTACACCCATAGGACTAGCAGAGACACAGCTGTCCTCACCCACCACTCTCCACGTCTGCAGGCATCACATCTGTGGGGCCCTGGAGGCTGGGGTGAATGATGGGAGATCTGAACAGCAAGGCCTGAGGCTCTCTCCAGTTCTAACACTACTGTTTTGTAAGGCATACCCTGGTATGATTTTGACCTCTCCCTGGGGCCACTCAGACAGTTTCTGGGTGAATGCTTAGTGTTGTTGAGTATCCAGAAATAATTCAATATAAAGCCTTCTCTTAAAAATGTCACTGTCCTCAAAAGACAAAAATAGGACATTTATTTTAAAATATAAAAATAAAAAATGACGAAGGCACCTAGAGGGGTAGATATAGACACAAAGAGGAAGGAGGCCAGCAGGGGACTTTGAAAACCTTATCATTAACAGGGTAGCAGTAATGGCCCATTCAAACAATTAAAAACAAAAAAACAAGAAAAAAACAAAAAACCTTTGTCTAGCATGTTTAAGGCCCTAGGTTCGATACCCAGTGCCACACACAGATACACACACAAAGAAAGAGGGAAGAGAGAGAGAGAATAAAGATCGAATACACACAGCGATAGTACTGGGAGCTGGGAAAACAGACAAAAGACAAGTCTATTAATAGCACAGAACATGGGTACAGTGGAGGTTGGAGAAGCAGTGGGGAGGAGTGTGTCACTGAGTCCTATGGAGGAAGAAGGGATCTTGATGGTCACTAAAGAGACATTCACTCAGGCAATATACAGAAATGGGGCTATTCCAGGGTACAGAGCCAGGCTGTGCGTTGGAATGTAGTGAATGGCTGAGGGTGGGCGATGAATGGATACTTTCAAGCAAAGACCAGATTGTAATCAGAGCTGTTTCTTAGGAAGGAGAATCTAGTCACAGACTGACAGACAACCTGCAGGGAAAAGCCTGGGAAGCAGCTCGGCAGTGAATCTGCAAAGACAAACAGCCTCAGCTGAGCAGTGTGGTTGCACACATTTACTCCCAGCCCTTCAAAAGGAGGCAGAGGCAGGTGGATCTTTGTGGATTCCAGGCCAGCCTGGGTTATATGGTGAGACCCAGTCTCAAAACCCAAACCCAAACCACACCAAACAAAAAAAACTGAAGAGCTATAATGAAACTCAGCCCCCAAGACTGATAGGAATTGACCACGAAGAAAGTGAGCGTGTTAAATGGTAAGCTTTGGGTGAGTTCAGTCAGAGGTGGAATGAGAAGAAAAGTGGAGATCTGAGCTGTTATAAAGGAGAGAAGCAGAGGTACAGTTTGCCTTGGGAAGGTTTAGCAGATGTAATCGTGCCCATATGAATGGAGAAATTCCGTAAAGGGTGCGATGATATCGAGAGATCCATGACAAACACTGTAGCTATAAGCAGAATGAAGGGAGAAGCTGGCCTTGCTAGAGGACTTGGGGAGGAGCATGGTCAAGGTCAAGAGACAGACTCTAAAACAGTCTTGTGTATTGTCGCTGCACAGCACTGGGGGGAGGCAGAGCAGGGAGCTGCTGGCTTTGGCAGCCAGCCTTTGGCTCACAAGTCTTTGGTCTATGTCATTACCTTCTTTGGTGTTCCCAACACTTGGCAGATTTTGAAAATTGTGTCGATTTCACTGGCCCCAGGGAAAAGAGGCCGGAGGGTGTACACCTCTGCCATGATGCAGCCCACTGCCCAGACATCAATGGGGGAGCTGTAGTTGGTAGACCTCAGGAGGACTTCTGGAGCCCTATACCTGAAAAGACAAAGTTAACAACTAGCTATTGCTTCTACTGGTCAGAAGGTAACTTCAGTAACAAGTAACTCTTAGTTAAAGTATATATTTTTCTTAAATGCAAAACTTGGCAACCAACTGTCATGGCCAATAATAAATAATAGTCTTAAGGCTGCAGAGATAGCTCAGTGGATAAGCTAACTTTCGTGAAAGTATGAGGACCTGAGTTCAAATCCCCAGCACCCAAGTAAAAAGCTAGGCATGGCTTTATGTGCCTGTAACTCCAGCATTCGGGAGCAGAGGCAAGGGATTCCATGAGCTTACTGGCTACCCAGCCTAGCCAAAAAAGTGAGCTTCTCAGCTCAGTGAGAGACCCTGTCTCCAGGGAATAAGTGATAGAGGAGGACACTCAGTGTTCTCCTCCAGCCTCACCACACACTCATGTGCAAGTACTATATACACACATATACCACACACTCATGTGCATATCCAATATACATGCATACCACACACTTATACTCAATACACACAAGAAAGAGAGAGGGGGAGGAAGGAAGGATGGAAGAGAAAGAAAAGAAGTCGGGATCTACTCCAAGGCTTCTTAAATGTTTTCCATTTGTGACTCCATTTTACTTGAGAAAGTTTTATACCCCCCTCAGGTATATAGGTATATAAGATAAGTATAAAAATTTAAGAAATTACATTTATTTTAATCACCTCTTTAGTGTACATATAATTTTACCATTTATTAAAGATAAAAGCAAAAATTCACCTAATGATTTTTTCCCAAGACAGGGCTTCTCTGTGTAGCCCTGGATATCCTAGAAATTGCTATATAGACCAGGTTGGTCTTGAACTCAGAGATCTGCCTGTCTCAGCCTCCTGGGTGCTGGGACTAGTGGCATACACCATCACATCTGGTGAGACAGAGTGTTATGTAACCCATGCTGCCTCAATCTCACTATGTAGCCAAGGGTGACCTTGGACTTCTGATCCTCCGAGCTCCATCCCCCTAGTTCTGGGATTACAGGCTTGTGCCACCACACCTGGTTTAATGAGGTGCTGGGGGTTGAGCCCAGGACTCGATGCAGGTACACTACTCATGGAGCCATATTCTTAGTCCCATTTAGTGATTTTCTTTAAATGAGATTCAACGAGGAAATCAAACATCAGTTTTAAAACTCAAACATTCTAACACAATCCAATCCAAAGAGATCCAAATTTGATACTACCAATTTGCTTAGGAATGGAGGAAAATATCAAAAGTCTTTGTTTTCTACAATTAAACCATTATGTTATTCTACAAGGGCAAAAAGTCCACTCATACCACAGCAATTTTAACATATGATAGTCTTGAATCTCAGCTGCAGTGTTCTTTCTGGGCAGGTTCACTGGCACTGTTTGGTGGTAGAACAGCATATGCACTGAAGGACATGCATGCCATGTGTTTAGACCCAAAGAAAGCTGTAGTGAAGTCCTGCATGTAACATGGGATCACAGTCAGAAATACCCCTGGTTCATTACATAGTTGATTCTGAATTAGTTTTCAGCTGTACATTCGGAAGCCTTTCACTATTGCCCAATTCTTCACAACCCCACATTCAGTTACTTGGCCACATGTGGGACTGCAGCCACAATTGAAAAGCTAGACTGTATTCCCCAGAGCTGTCAACCAAGCATTTGTCTACAGGATCTCTTCCTCCTCCTCCTCCTCCACAGTCTTTAAAGAATTCTGGGTGGGGGTATGTCCACAAGAGGTCAGAAGCACTGGATCCCTCTGGAGCTGAAATTACAAACAGTTATAAGCCACCTGATGAGGGTGGGGTACTGAACTTGGGACCTCTTCGAGAACAGGACAAACTCTTAGTGCTCAGCCATCTCTCTTGTACACAGGCTCCTCCTCTGTAGCATCTTCAGAAACACATGCAGGAACTGGGTAGGGCAAAGAGAGGGCAGGGAAGAAGGACGTGGAGCAACTATTCCCGAAAAGCTTCCATACAAAAATTATTTATACAAGGGTTGGAAAATTGGCTCAGCTGTTAAGAGCACATGTTGCTTTTCCAGAGGAACCAAGTTCAATTCCCAGCACCTACATAACAGCTCAAACCATCTGTAACTCCAATTCCAGAGAATTCAACCTCCACAGGCACCAGGCATGCACATGGTATACACACACACACACACACACACACACACACACAAAAAAAAAAAAAAAAAAAAAAAAAAAAAAAAAAAAACCCACAAACACCCCCCCCACACACACACATGCAAAACACTCATACACATAAAATAATAATTTTAAAAACTTTAAAAATTATTTAGACTGTGGACAGCATGATGGCTTTCCTTTTAAAATTGTTTTTAACACAAGCTTATATCTTCATTTAGTAACAAATACCTGCAGTGTTTGAACTCTTTCTTCCTTTTAGTGAGAACTTAATGTTCATGATTAATACTGTCCTCAGCATAATGTTTTATTATTTCTGTTGTGATTTTTTTTTTTTTTTGAGACAGGGTTTCACTATGTATGTACCCAGGCCAGCCTGGAACTCACTCTGTAGACCAGGCTAGCAATGAACTCACAAAGATCCATCTGCCTCCAGAGTGTTGGGATTAAGAAGTGTGTGTCACTACACTTGGCCTTATATATAAACTGTATCTTCTGAAAGAAGCACAATTAAATAATTTTGAGAGAAACAGCATTTACCATCTAGTAGACACATAGTCTGTGTACGGAGGTCTTGATCGGATTTCTCGGGCCAATCCAAAGTCTGCAATTTTCACAAGTTCTGGTCCCATGCAGAGGAGATTCTCAGGCTTTAAGTCCCGGTGGAAGAAGCCTGCGGAGACAGTGAAGGAATCCAAATGCATGTCCTTTCTGTACCACTCTCTGCAGCTCTAACACTCTTTGACAAAACATCTGTAACAAATGATCAGGCCCCCAGACTTCCCCTTAGATAAAAATCAACCCAAGTTGTTCTTTGTACATCTTACTTACAAAGAAGTCTTTTTAAATACCAAAACTTGTGAGCGAAGATAACTGCAAACCCAACTATCTCTGAGGGAAAAATTCACTCTTATCAAGTCAGCAGAGCTATGTTGAGAATAAAACCATTTAAAAAGATAATAGTTTTTATTCGCATCAAATGTATACAACAATAACAAGAAACAAAGGATTAGCTGGGTGAAGTGGAATGCACCTTTAATCCCAGCACTTGGGAGTCAGAGGCAGGCAGATCTGAGGCCAGTGTGGTCCACAAAGTGAATTCCAGAATAGCCAAGACTGTTATACAGAGAAATCGTGGTCTTGAAAAACCACACACACACAAAAAAAACCAAACCAAAACAAAAACAGAGAGAGACAGAGACAGAGACAGGGAGAGAGAAAGGATTGGTGGGTAAGTTGTTACACTGTTAAAGAGTACTTATGAATTTGCCCAATGTCACTGAATGAGAAGCCTTAGTGGTGGTGCTGTGGAGATGCAGCACAGAGAGATTTAATATGAGAGTCTACCAGAAACACACACAAACATCCAGTGGCTAGCAATATACATGACTCTGGTATATTGCTATATACCAGGTACCCAAACCACCTCCTCCCTGAGGTACCAACCACAGACATCATTCATGGTGCTGGGACACTCCGACGGAAAGGCAACTTAGTGGATGTCATGACAGTGTTATTAGTTATGCATTATCGTCTCTAAAGTTACATCCTGTACCATCCTTGAAAGCTGTGTCCTTAATAGGATCCTGACTGGATGCCACTTTCATGCCTGCAGCAGCTTGTCCAAAACTACCTAAAAGCCAATCCGTCCTTCTCAAACTTTTAATAGTATCACCATTCTGTTGAATCCAGTCTTTTGATGGTGATGGATGGTCCTGCATTTCCTTCAGAATACCTCCTGGTCTCTTCCCCTTTCCCTCTGCATTCCAAGCTGCTCTTCCTGCCTGTGGCTGAACCATCACAGTTTCCCTCCTCCAACTTCATTGTACTCTACGCATTCTAATAGTTTAAACACTGCCCCCCAACACACACACACGCACGCACGCACGCACGCACGCACGCACGCACGCACACCCTTGCCTTAGCCTCTTTAAATAGTTTAATAACTCTGATCTCTTTTATTCTACCTAAAGAGATAAATGTATCTGTGGTAAAGGACTTGAGGAACATGCATGATGCCCTAGGTTCAATCACCCATATTGCTTTATGTTTCAGTAAACCAAACTATAACTTTTGTTTTTTTAAAGATTTATTTATTTATTATGTATACAGTGTTCTGTCTGCATGTATCCCTGCAGACCAGAAGAGAGCACAAGATCTCAATACAGATGGTTGTGAGCCACCATGTGGTTGCTGGGAATTGAACCCAGGACCTCTGGAAGAGCAGCCAGTGCTCTTCAATCACCCGTATTGCAAAACGTATTTCCCAATACTGATCACCAGTTATATAGAGTGTGTTTCATTCCCTTTAATTTTACTGTATTTGTCTCCAAAATAAGGTACCCTGCTCCTTTTTATCTGTATCAGTCCTAATCTTAACCATTCTCCAAGGTTTATTGAGTAGTCCTTTGTCTAAGAAACCATCTCACAGTTGGGTGTTCATGACACATGCCTTTAATTCTAGCACTCAGGCGGCAGAAGTAGGTGGATCTCTGAGTTTGAGGCTAGCCTTGTCTATAGAGTGAGTTCCAGGATAGCCAGGGCTACTCAGAGAAACCCTGTATCAAAAAAACAACAACAAACAAACATTTCACATGATGCAATTTTTGCATTCTTCCACTTGGTCAAGAAATATTCAGAGGCCATGGGTTGGGCTCTGTGGATTCCGAGCCACCCAAATACCATGGTTCTTGGTCTTTGCCTTCACAGGTAGAACAGGCCTTTCCCCTGATTATATGTAGAATTCTATTATTTACAGATATGGTCACCATTCTCACTAAGTAGAAGGAAGCCCTTTAACAGTCAAGGTCTTTTGTAGTTCTGAATGCCCTCCATGTAAGACAAAACATGGCAATCTCACAACATATGATTGTTGACTGAAATGAGGGAACTAAAAAGGCCTGTCAGAAGAATGACGGAAGTTCACAGTGATGAATCTACATGGACTAAATATGCAGGAGCAAGAGAGTGGATCTGAGTTGTGGAAGGGGAAAGTCTAAAAAGACAGTAACTGAGAACTGAATGACAAGTGCAAGGGCTCAGAAGCAGGGTAGGGACAATGAGGACTCATTGTTGGGTGTCCATATCACAGAGGTCATTCCTATAGCCCTCAAGCAATTAGCCAAGGTTGTTTTCCAAACTTGCCTCTGCTATAGCAGAAAGTGATTGTGATGTGCTTACATGTCAAAATGCACTATATTCCATGTGTGATGGAAACTAGCAATGGTATTCAATATCCGAGAGACAACTAGGCTTAGCATCAGGTCAAGTAACAAATGCATAGTTGTATAGCATAATGATGGGACTGCATACCAAGTGGTTAGCTTAGCTGGACCAAGGGAATACAATTAGAACCTCATGCCTACATGAAGATGAAGGCACAAAATTGATCACAGACATTCAAGGGGGACAGGGGCAAGAGTAAGAAGTACTTCCTTCACAACGCAGGGCTACCTGCTTTGTACATCCCAAGGAATTGAGATCAGAGTTGGGACTGGGTTAGACAAGAGACAGGCACACAAGTTGTCTATTTTACAGCACATGTATATTTGTAGATATTAGTTCATGCATGTGTACGTGTATGTGAAAATACATTGAGATTCACATATTTCAGTGCTTCATCTTTATTCTGCTGCTGTCCTGACAAAGGTCTACTGGCCTTCCATAGACCAATTTCAAGAATCCTAACCAGATTTGTAGTAAACCAAACATAAATAATTATAAGAACCAAACTTGAGGTTCTTAGCTTAAGAAACTCAGAGTGATTCAGTATTAGTCAAGAATGGCCTTTCCAGTAAAAGTAAAACAAACCTGACTGACATAGACAAATCCAGATGGTTTATTATCACCCCAATAAAATAGATAATCTACCCACCAGATGCCTTCTCTTAAGTCTTGGTATAATTGAGTCACTGTGTTTGGGACCTTTATTCTTGTGAACACCTGCCAGTTCTCAGAGGGTCTGACTGGATGTACTCATCTTGGAAATGAATTAAGAATTATACAATTATTAAAAATTATCTTTTGTCAATGTACCTAGGATGGTTTCCAGGACCCTTGAAAACTGTGAGATGATGGTTTCTCTACCTCAAGCACTCTAAAAACTCTCCGATGAAAGATGAAATGGCAGGCATCATTTTCTTAGTGAACAGATGGGAAAACTTGGTCATGGGTTGGGGGCAAAAAATTGCTCACAATCCCACCAAAAAGTGCGTCACAGCCTAACAGTGCCAAGCACTACTGTTTCCCTCTTGGCGACTCTGTCCACCCAAACCTTGATTTGTGGCTTTGATCCTCTCAAGCCCAGATCAACACCGATTCTCCTCGCTAACTTTCTCTTCCTCTTCTAATTGAGGTAATTATTATTTATAAACTCATGTGGCATTTCTTTTACAGTGACTCATCTGTCCTCAGACCTCCTCCACCCACAGCAACTCCCTCTGGCACTATCTATAACACCTACATCAGTTCTCATTTCTCCAGCACCACACTCCAGACCTTTTCTGTGTCCATGCGAACCACACTTCTCTAAACACCAAGCACCCTCCCGGCAACCGACAGGCTCTATCCTTTCCCTCATGGCCTATACTCGTTTTGATTCTAGTTCCAAGAGAACACGCACATTAATCAAAAGTGGAATGAAGATTCAGGTCCCTCACTTATCCCATTAAGTAAGTTCTTTTTTCATATTTCATCTGTTTTAGTGAAACATTACTATTTCCATTTAAAGAGACAATGCAGCTTAGGATGTGAATGTACAGACCAGCCAGAACTCCCAGTCATTTAACCTTCCAAGTTTCCTCATTTGTGGAACAGAGACTAGCATCCCTCACAGGCCTATTTTGCAGGATGAAATGCACTGAACCCATAAAGCTTTTGGAGGGCAGTGCCGACACATGAGCACCTTGCAAGAGCAGGTCATTGTGAGGAAGGCTACGAGAAAATTCCCTCTGGTAACCTCCCCCAAACTGTCAACATGGCCTTGTGCATATGATGTCGTGTCTTTGCAGATAAGAATTAAAGCTTGTGAGGGTGAGTGCCCTCTGTGAGGAGGTGGCAGTAGAGCTCTGCTCTGATTCCTGCCTGGGTCTGTGCTCTGCTGACGTGTGCAGTGTGGTCTGTAACAAAGACACCCCTTCTTCCTTCTCACTCCTGACTCCACAGCGGGAATCCTCTAGCTGTGCCATTTAGACATCATGCAACAGCAGAGTTCTTCCACAGTAAGAACTTTCCTGTTCAAAACACCTTCCAGAACACACACACACACACACACACACACACACACACACACACCTCATTTAAGTTCAGGATACCTCCTGCCTGCTCAATAACAGAAGGATTTTCCTTTCCATTCTGATAGAAGATTTTGATGAATAACTTCAAGGAAGAAAGGAAAACCAAGGAAACCTCAAGGGAGGCTCTCCTCTGTCCATATCCTAGTATTGACGATGCTGATTAAATATGAGCAAATGATTAAAGAGTATTTAAATGTTATGAATTTACATAGCATATCTTCTTGCTGCAAAAGTATTTCAGATAATTCTCACCGTTTCCCCTCCACCCTCCCCAATTTCCTTCCTCCCTTGAATCTGAACCTACGGTGTTAATATCAAGAAAAAAAGCAGCAGGCCATAGGAGCCGCGGCACACAGACAGGAGAAGGGCCAGGTCAAGG